ATTCCTGAGGAATTTTTAGGCTAGTAGATGAGAACATTACAGTAAACAACAATAAAACACAGAATCCTCTAAGTGTCACTGGAAAACTGGAACATAATTGACCTACAGGTAAACAATTTGTGGTTATATTAAAGCAAGAGCATATTGGGATGATAAATCAGATGAAAGAAATTCATATATAAATTTGAAGTATTATTGCAACAGAATATTCGCAACAACGAATATTAACTATGTAAGTCAAAATTAAACTACAGAAGCATAGAATTATGCTTCATGGCAGCAGCATGATGTAGAATACTGCCCCCCAATAAAAGCACTAAAAACGACAAGTTGAAAAAAATATTTTTATCAAACATTGCAGTCTCTGCCCCAAGTCGCCTAACGGGCATGCACATGGGTGTGTACACACACATACACACACACACACACACACGTGCATACATATATTTACACATGTACATAATAATTTCCTACATTATTTAAAAGTAAATGGTGAGGGACCAGCAGTTGGCGTAATGGCTATGTCGTTGGACTCCCATGTCGTCGACCACGGTTCAAGTCCTGGACCCAGTGGCTTAAACTCATGATGGGCGCATGTGCATGCGTGCCAAAGATACCAAGAGGAGAATGGAGGAGAAGGGATTGCAGTGTGGCCATCCCCCCGGGGGTTGATTTCTCGCTTTCTGTCTCTCTGTCTCTCTCTGTCTGGTGAGCGCACATGCCCTATAACAAAAACCTCTAAAAAATAAAAAGTAAATAGCTAATGTATAACATTTTAACATTTAATAAATTGTTAGGGTCAGTCCCTTGGCACAGTAGTTAAAACCAGATCCCTCAAGGCTAACCAGGATTCTAAATTCTGACTGCAGCAGTTTCCATGCTGGGCATGTGCATAAGTGTTCAGGATCCCAGTCAAATGGGAATTGGAAGAAAAAGAACTGTAGCATGAGCAGTCAGTCCCATTGAGAGGGCTTCCTTCCTCTCTCTCTCTCTCTCTCTCTCTCTCTCTCTCTCTCTCGTGCACACACGTCAGGGGCATTAAAAAGTTCACTAAAGTGGACTGATATGAGTCATGCTTGTTCTAAGTCCTTTTTTCTAACATCATTCACTATAAATTACAATATGTGGTTTCATCTTCATTTTTGAAACTGCTATAACTGCTAAAACAAAAATAATTATAAGTCAAACATTTATATACAAGGTGTTTCCTGAAGCTTCTCAAAGCTATAAAGACGAGAGTTTCTTTCCGTTCTTCCACTGGTATGGCCATCTGTTGAGGGAAGAGACAAGCCCCAGCATGAAATATTCATTAGGATTATTGAGAAGGGTAATCAAAAGAGAATTAAAAGAATGATGCTGAGGCCCAAACACTGACATCAGTATTGTTTTCTTAAATAACGGTCTTGAGTCATAGACAAAAATTGACTCTGTCAAACCAAGCAAGAAGATTTTACTGCATTTTCTGCTTTGTAGCTTATTTGTAAAGCCGGGCAGAGAAGACGACCTCTTGCTCTGAGCTGTTGGACTCAGTCTCAGAAGTCATTGGGGATGTTATGAAAATTACTTCTTCACCATTTAAGGGCTTATAAATAGGATTTGCACATATCAGATACAGGAAAAAGTATTTTTATTCTGAATAAAGAAAAATATTCTAGCAGCAATTATCCATGATTGATTGGTTTGGTGAAAAAAGAAAAAGGATTTACATTTCCCTAGAGATGTTCAAAGATAGGAAGTAAATACTTGGCAAGGGAATTATAAAGGGAAATTCACAGATTCATTCGATCATTGGATATACAAGATCCTGTTCAGAACTTAACAAATCTTATGGGGTGCAGTGACACACTCATGCATGTAATTTTAGCTATTCAGGAGGCTAATGCAGAAGGATCACAAGCTCCTGGCCAATTTGAACAGTATATATATATATAAAAAAAAACTCATTAATTTATAATTCTGTGATTCTATGATAATAGATGCTTGCCATAAACACATTTCTTGTCAAAGATTCTGAATTATATTTCTTCCTTTTGTCACGAGATTTCAGCAATATGTAAATATCCATCTTAGTCATTTCTGGAAGCAAAGAAACATAATAATATATGATTTGGAGAAAGAAGTGCTCCTTCCATAATAGTTTTAAAAAATTGTAATTCATACATCACATACAACAGAGGTGATTGTGAGGGGCTGGATGACGGTGCAGCAGTAATGTGGGAGGCTCCATGAAGCTGAGTGTTAAAGGTTCCAGGTTTACTTACAGAGACCTCTCCTGAGTACTCTGGGCACATGTCTGCCCATGGCTCAGGGGCTGGCTCAAGGTGGGAGTGAATTGCAGCATTAAGACCCATCAGGAGTGCTGTCTCTCTGTCTCTCACTCTCATGAAAGAAATACGTTTAAAAATTTAAAAACTAGTAACTAATAAAAATTACATTTGAGTAGACTTATCTTCTTAATTTACAAGACTACCTTTGAAATACGTTTGTAAGCAGTTCATATCAAAGTTTCCTACCACCTGTGGGTTTCTGTGGGCTTGGAGGATGTGAGTGTCAGTGATAGAGAAGTCTTTGAATTGAAGGGCACAAAACTGTAAGATGTTATCATTTCAAAGAGGCTCTCTTCCTACTATGATCAGAAAAAAGTGGAACAACAGGTCAGAATAAACAAAAGCAGAGCTATCAGAGAAAGGGTGGGCTGACAAGCTGTAACTATGGTTACATAAGACATTTATATTCTGTTAAATTTTTAACCACAAATCACAAGGCTTTCCTGTTTTGTTTTGTCTTTTTTTGCTTTGTTTTTCATCTAAAACCACCCTGTTCTGTAGCATAGCAAAACATTGTATACTGTAATGTCAATTGTAAGAACACAATTTTTAACCAGGGCTATAAAAAATCCACAATTATCCCCATAACTACATGTGAATTTGTAATTACATAAATATTAAAAGATTAATTTTTTTAAATGTTAGGAAAAAGAAGAGCAAAGCTTCTAAGGGGTCCTATTATGGAAAACAAATTCACAGAGATAGTAGCAAACAGCATCCAGGCTTAGAAGAGATATGTAGATAAAGCAAATTGGACTTTTTTTTCTTTTAAGATGTCTGGAATGATTCAGTCCAATGTAGATTAAACATTAATTTTTAAAGCTTTTGAACTTACAGCAGGACTTCTAGTACGATACCAACAATATTGGTGTCACCTGTCATCTTTTAAAAAAATGTAAGTGTGGGGGCCCCAGACCAGCTCTACATTATTAAATTCCAAGGGTCACTGTAAATAAAGTACCACAGACATGGTGGCTTTAATAAACAGAAGCTAGGAGAGCCAGCACTTGGAGTAGTGGTTAAGGTGCTGGACTCCCAGGAGCCAACCACGGTTGGGATCCTAGACCCAGTGGCTTGAAAACACCAGGTGTGTGTATGTGCGCAAAAGTCCAAGAGGAGAATGGAGGAGAAGGGATTGCAGGGTGGGGGGTTCTCACTTTCTGACACTCTGTCTCTCTGTGTATCTCCAGCAAGCACACACACTCTATAGCAAAACTGTTAAAAACAAACAAAAAAAGCCAGAAGCTTATTTTCTCACTGTTCTAGATGCCTGAAGTGTGAAGTCCAAGTGTTGGCATGATTGGTTCTTTCTGGAGCTCTGAGGGAGAGAATCTGTTCCATGCCTCTGTCCTGGCTTCTGGTGGCTGCAGACAGTCCTGGGTGTTCCTAAGCTTGCAGGTGCATAACTTCAGTTTCTGCCTCTGTCTTCACATGGCTTTCCCTTCTGGGTCTCTGTCTCCTTTTTTTTTTTTTTTTTTTTTTGGAGAGCTTTTTGCTATACGGCGAGTGTCCTCGTGTCCTTGCCAGAAAGACAGAGAGACAGCGAGACAGAAAATGAGAAATCATCCCTATAGCAAAAACCTCTCCAGAAAAATAAATAAATAAATAAATAAATAAATAAAGCATATTATTGGTTGCCTGGGTCCAGGTGTGTGGAAAGGTGTAAAAAGGAACTTTGGGAGGTGATAGAAATGTCCGTGTTTCAGAGATACACATATTTGTTTAAACCCACATTTCTTATTATTCAAAATAGGTGTCTTTTATTATGTATAAAGTATAGCTCAATAAAGTTGATTTTTTAAATATCAGGATCAAAAAAGATGACGAAAGTCTGAAGAACTGTTCCAGATTAAAGGAGATCAAAGAGCTCACAACTAAATGCATTACATTATCTTGAACATGTATGTAAAATACCATGATGACATTATCAGGACAACTAACAAAATTTGAACATGAATTTTAGATTAGATGAAATGGTGTACCAATACAAAATTCCCTAATTTTGATCATTGTAGTGTGATTATTTAAGACAAAGTCCTCATTCCAGGAAAGTATTTATACAAAAGGACATGATATCCTCCATTTATTATCAAATAGAGCAATAAGGATTAAGAGAGAGAGAACAATTAAACAGATAAAGCAAAATATTAATAACTAATAACTATGATTAAAACTTGTATGAGAGTTCCTTGCACTATTTTTGCAACTATGCAGCAAGTTTGAAATTACATTTTAGAGAAAGATATTTTTTTTAAAAAAAAGTGAGGTAAGCTTCTGAATGAGAAGAAAAAATATATAATTATATTCTAGCTTTTAATTGCACTATTAAAGTCAGAGAGTATTAAAGTGATTTATTCTATTGATAAGGGAAAGGCCCAGGCTATTTGTCAGGATTCTTTCATTAGTTCTGGATGTGGGTCAAAGAAAGAGAGAATAATTACTAAGGACACTAAAGAAAGGAGTTAGTGCCCTCCAAAGATAAAATCTCCCTCTGCTCCAGGAAGAAATATGGCATCTCATCATAGTCCAAAAGAACATTTTCTTCTTCCAGCTCAACTCTATCTGTGTCCATAATGGACTAAGTCCTACAGTTAAAAACACTTATTTGTAATAATCACAAATTATTACAGGAAACAAAAAAAAAATGACGACATTCCATTTTCACCTCTTCTTCTAAGTTCACTTTGAAGTGGAGAAGACAGAATCAATTCTCTTTTCGCAGATACAACCATAGGTCATAGAGCAATCAATTGTTGATATTCTTGTGGAGGTTAAAAATCCACACTCTCCTCTCCCAGAACGCAGGTTCATTACTGTAAAATTACTGCAGAACAGAAAGCATACGAGGTCAACTGTTTAATTCTGAAGTTTACGAAAACCTAAATCAAGATTTTTTTTTAATCCTGTTGCCTAAAGATCTGCAAAAAGAAAATGTTAACCGTGAGTTTATAACTGAAAGATTTTCTTTGCTCTTACATCGTAAAACAGAATCATGGCATCTTGATGCCACCTACAACCTCCCATTTTTGTTCTCACTGTCATTTTTTGGTCAGAAGGCAAAATTACTTTGCAACAATGCTATGGAATTATGATATACCTAACCTGTTTTCTTACACTAATTTTTCAGTAAAAGTGAGAAATTAATAAGGAGAAGAATTGAATTTTTATGACAGAGATATCCACATCTCATGTGCTTATGTATATATGTATATGTATATATATATATACACACACACATATATATATATACATTTAGTATTTGCTACAGAAGATGTGTGCTTACCAAAGAGCGACAGAAACAGAAAGAGAGGAAGAGAGCAAAAGAGAGAGAGAGAGAGGGAATGCGAGAACTAACCCCTCCTCCCATTGGGGGAATGGCTACACTGCAAACTCTTCTACTCCTCCATTCTCCTCTTGAGATTGGGGGCACACATTCGCATGCAGCTGGCAATATTTTCAAACCACTGGGTCTGGGACTTGAACTGTGCAGCCAGTTATGTGGAATCCAACCACCTTAACCACAGCACCTGCTAGCCTACATATGCCATATTTTCAAAAGAAAAAAGTAGAGTTGGAATATAATCAGAGATAAAGATGTTGATTGATGTTTTTGTTTGTTTTCTTTCCACTCCCATCATATGACTAATGGTTGTTAGCTATGAATAATATCTAAGCAAACAAATAAATAAATGTTCAAAAAATAAATAAAAATTTATTTATGGAACCAGCAGTTGGTATAATTGCCATGTTGCTGGACTCCCATGTAGTTGACTGCGGTTCGAGTCCCAGACCCCATGGCTTAAACTCACACCAGGTGCGTGTGCGTGCATGCCCAAGATCCTGAGAGGAAAATGGAGGAGAAGGGATTGTGGCGTGGCCATCTCCCCTGGGGGGTGATTTCTCACTTTCTATCTCTCTGTCTCTCTCTGTCTGTCTGGCGAGCACACGCGCAAAAACCTCTCCAAAAAAAGAAAAAAGTTTATTTATTTCATCAGTTGAAAAATATCTCAATCAGGACCTCACCATTTTAGAAAAATGATGAAGTAGAAGACTTTCTTCTGTTGAAAACAAATCAAAATGCTGAGTAGAAGACCAGATGGCATCACAGAGGTCAAACACACATTCTGTGAGGCAGACAAGCATGGAAAGCCTACCCGTTCCTGTGTGGAGACCACCCTGTGTACAGTGGGTACAAGCATTCCCGTGATCCAGTATGATTGAAGCTAGGGTGGATCAGAGCATCAAACTCTGTCATGCATGCTGTATTTCTGTCTCTGCCTCAGTCTTTCTAGCTCTCTCATTTATGAAATAAAAAAGTTTTTTTATTTAGGTTTTTAACATTTATTTATTTATGTATGTATTTATTTGTTGTGATTTTCAAGCTGCTGGTTCCAAGACTCGAATTTCAGTCGGCCCTGTGAGAATTTAGCATCCTAACACCACACCACCTGCTGGCTCATAAATAAACTTTTTAAATGCTATATAAAATATTTTAAATCTTCTTGAATAAGTTCATAATCTATCAAGAATCATATTTATATTCAGGCTGAAATTTAAATAAAGGTTATTAAAAGGGTAAATGAAGTGCTGTCTCTGTATTGAATGTATACGGAGCTGAATAATGAACTCCATTCCAGAAGAAGATTTGAAATAGAATACAAACTATTTAATGCTGACATGCTAAGGGGATTTTTTTTTAAGTATAGATCACTCTAGAAAAGTCTTGAGCCTTGGACTTAAGTAGAAGAAAAAAGAATAATCCCACCATCACGCAGGAATAGGTACGCAGCTGAGGGAGTCAGACCATATGGAGAATGTAACCCGGGGTTCAGGGGATCCTTACTGGATTACACCTTATCCTAGGTATAACAACCAATCCTACCTCTTTACCTTTACATCATGTTATGGATTTTAACTTGACTTAGTAGCCATGTGATTTGAACATCTTAATTTGGCCTGTGAGCCAGTCTGTTCTGTGACCTTTGGGTAGTTAGACTGAGGATGATGCTCAGAGGACACAATTACATCAAGATGATTTCCTACATGACATCTTTGGTAGGTTTGCCACCCAGAACTGCAGTACATTCAGGGCCCAAATTTAGGATTAAAAGTGGGCCAGACTCACAGTGTCCCAAAGCATCTAACAACAGCAAATTATATTTGGTAAAGCCACCTTCATCGCAACCTCAAATAATTTCCACAGCAGCTCAAAAGAAGGAAAATAAAGTGACTAAACACTACCAAAACTATGGCACCATGAACAAAAGTTAGCAGAAGCAAGAGCTTAGACTTCAAAACTTCAAATATTAGAATTATTAGATAACAGCTATAAAATAAATATGTGTCATATATTTCAAGAAATGAAAGCTTTAAGACATGACTAATGATACAGCGGGTGGTATAAAGGTTAAGTCAGCTGGATCCCACATGGCTGACCATGGGTCAAGCCCCAGACCAGGCAGTTTGAAATGACATAAGGTACAGGTGCATACATGCCCAAAATCCTGAGAGAAAAATGGAGAATGGGGTATAGTAAGGCCATATCCCCCAGAAGATTATTTCTCACTTTCCCTCTCTCTATCTCTCAGACAAGTTCATGCACTCTATAGCAACACTAATATATATATATACACATATATATACATATACATATACCAGGACCAGCAGTTAGCGTAATGGCTATGTCACTGGATTCCCATGTAATCGACCGCAGTTCAAGTCCCAGACCCGGTGGCTTAAACTCACGCCAGGCACATGTGTATGCGTGTCCAAGATCCCGAGAGGAGAATGGAGGAGAAGGGATTGTGGCGTGGCCATCCTCCCTGGGGGGGGGGGGATTTCTCGCTTTCTATCTCTCTGTCTCTCTCTGTCTGTCTGGCGAGTGCAGGCGCCCTATAGCAAAAACCTCTCCAAAAGAAAAAAATTGAAATAATAATAATGATCAGGAAAAACAATGAAAAGATGTTGGATAATGAAATTGGGATTTTAATGTCTCTGTATTGACTGATATGCATGGTATTTCTTCTGGAAAAAGAAATGTAATACACTATAAAGTATATGTGATTCAATGTAATATAAACAAGATTATGATGATAATAAATAAATTTTTAAAAAACAAAAAAAAATAGAAAATAGGTAATCTATGTGGAATAAGAGATTTTTTTTAGACACAACTCTTTCGACCACACCAATATTAGATCTGAATGCATAACAGAAACTTACAGTCCAGAAGTATCATCAGCAATCCACTTCCATTTACTTTCCACTTCATCATATGATAATCCAATCCAGTAATTCCTTTTATAAATCTGGGACTGAACAAACTCCTATAAAGAAAACAAAATGCATTATGTGACTAAGTTTTCATATATTAGAAAGAACAGAAGGGTAGGCAAAGACAGCAGCTGTTCCTATGGTCAGTGCCCCACTACCCTTCAGATCATTCTTTATCTTGCTTGCTAAAAAATATTCTCTCCTCTCAATCCCTGAATTTTCATTTTCCAAAGTAATTCTCCTTTACTAGATTATTTATTTATGTTAAAAAGTGCTGTCAATTTCAGATTATTTTAAATATGGCCAAATTTAAAATCTAAATATCTAGCAATAGGAGATTTCTTAAATAATTATGGCACTGTGAAATTACTCAAAAATCACTCTCCAGAAGGATATTTAAGGATGTGAAAAAATGATTATTACAAATTTTGGGAACCAGCAGTTAGCGTAATGGCTATGTCGCTGGACTCCCACGTAGTCGACTGCAGTTTGCGTCCCGGACCTGGTGGCTTAAAACTCACACCGGGCACGTGTGCGTGCATGCCCAAGAACCCAAGAGGAGAATGGAGGAGAAGGGATTGCGGTGGGATCATCCCCCCTTGGGGGGGGGGGTGATTTCTCGCTTTCTGTCTCTTATGTCTCTCTCTATCTGTCTGGTGAGCACACGCACCCTATAGCAAAAACCTCTCAAAAAAATGATTATTACAAATTTTAAGTGAAGTAAAGAATCTTCAAGGCAAATGTACTATAAAAAATATACATATGGGGATTTTGTATTATAAGCCTCAGCCTCATAAGAGAAAGCCTTGCTGTCATTCAATAGTTGGATGAGATGAAAGAAAGGGGAAAGTATTTTGACTTTACCAAAAATGAAATATATCAAAGTGACATATTTTGTAACATCCAATTGATTAAATGACTAAATATATTTTAAAATATAGGCCTAAATATAACTGTTGTACTACATTAAACATAGAAAATAAATTTATAACTTGATGTCATAAAATTTTGTTACAATTTTAAACATTTATTAGATTCAATATAAATTTTTTGTTGTTTTCCTAAATAATAGAGATTTCAGGTTGATTTTTGCAAAATTGCCTTATAAAAACACATTTTGTGTATCTGTATAATTTTTATTGATAATAAATTTTAAAGATAATTTTAATAGTTTTCACTATATTTTCTCTTATTACAATTATTTTTAAAGATACACATTTGATAAAATGTGTAAGACTATATTAATCAAATAAATGTTACCTGTGTATATGATAAAAATGAAAATGAGGCTAATTTCTGAAATGGTCATTTCTTTCATTTCTTTTTAACTTGTCAGAGAGAGCATGCACTTGCAAGAGAGACTGAGAGAAAAAAAGAAAGGGGGAAGACAACCTCTATTGTGATGTGGTCACACCACGATCCCTTCTCCTCCATTTCTCCATCTTTTCAGACTTTGGGGTATGTACACACATGTGCCCAGTGTGTTTTTCAAGCCCAGGGTCTATGACTTGAACTGCATGGTTGGCCATGTGGGATCCAGTTGCCTTAATCACCAGGCCATAGACTGGCCATATGTTCTTCATTATTATCTCCATTCTGCAGATTGGCCCCAAAATGTTAAGTAATTTACTGAAGGTTACCCAGCTAGTAAGTGGCATAGCTAGATTTGATCCCAGGCAGTTTGGCTCTTGGGTTCCTGATGGTAACTCCTGGTTTTTAGGTGCCACCTTATAAGAATAAATAACTGATGGATCCAGGCTGCAATTTACCAAATGGTTAAGTACTTCATCAAGGAAAAGACTTATTGTCTGCAAATAGTTCTACTGCCAACTCCTCAGAAAGAGAAAATATGGCAAAGACCCAACTGCACCCTTTATGACAGTGACTATCATAATAGATAACATGAACTAAATACTTAGTAAGTAATAGGATCATATGCTTGTTAGTGGGCAAGAGGTCTCCTGGGAGATTTAACTATACAATTTTGGCTCACACAACAGACATGGAACAAAAAGAGCTGATGGTTCTTCTTTCTGTACTCCCACATGTCCTCCATATCTTGGGTCCAAGGGTAAGAGGCAGAGTTCAAGAGAATAAAAGTGAATTAAGTGTCAATGATACCTGTTCATCTTTATCATCTATCTTCAAAAGGGATGATTTGTAACTTTGGCATGTCTGTTTACATTTCTTCCAGTTTTTATTTTCTGTGATAAAATAGTAACAGTCCACTCCACAACAGGACCAGTGATCTTCATAGAATTTGCCTACAACATATAAAGTGGATCATTAAGCTCTTGTCATTTGATATTCTGTTAATCAGAGCAATATATTTATCCTCCCTCCATAACTAAATAAGATCTTAATAGCTATCAATAAATGATAATATGAGGTTCATCAGGATTCTGGAATGCCAAGAGACATCCACACTCCCACGTTCACAGCAGCATTATTTACAATAAACAAGATACGAAAATAATCTAAATGTCCATTGATGGGTGAATGGATAAAGAAATTATGGCATACACATACAATGGAATATTATTAAGCCTTTAAAAAGAAGTAAATTTTGCCATATACAATTATATGGATGAACTTCAAAAACACTTTGCTAGTGAAATAAGTCACAGAAGGACAAATTCCATGATTCCACATATATGAGGTGTCTAAAAATACTTATTCTACAGGGATATGATTCTACTCAGAGAGTAGGACGGTGATTTCAAAGGGTCAGAAGGAAGTGAAAATGAGGGGTTATATTGTTAAATGGGTATCAGGTTTTAGTTATGCAAGATGAATAAGCTCTAGTGATCTGCTGTATAGCTTAGTGCCTAGAGTCAACAACACACTGTACACTTAAAAACTGAAGAAGATAGGTCTCACATTAATATCCTCACCACACAAAAATAAACAAAGGAAAATGAGGAAAGTTTTGGAGGCTGGAACCAGCAGGTAGCATAATGGCTATGTCGCTGGACTCCCATGTAGTCGACCATGGTTCGCATCCCGGACCTGGTGGCTTAAAACTCATGCCGGGAGCATGTGCATGCATGCCCAAGATCCCGAGAGGAGAATGAAGGAGAAGGGATCGCGGCTTGGCCATCCTCCCTGGGGGGTGATTTTTCACTTCCTGTCTCTCTGCCTCTCTGTCTGTCTGGTGAATGCATGTGCTCTATAGCAAAAACCTCTCTAAAAAACAAGTTTTGGAGGTGACAGATAGGTCTATTACCCTGACTGTGGTGGTGGTTTCACAGATTTATGCATATAACCAACTCATCAAACTGAATATATTAAACATCTGTAGTTATCTGTATATTAGTAACATCTCAATACAGTGATTTTAAAAATAATAAAATTATGGGGATAGTAGGTGGCATAGTGGTTAAGGTGGTAGATTCCCACATGGCTGATGCAGTTCAAGTCTCAGACCTGGAGGCTTGAAACTCACACTGGGTACATGTGTGTACAAGTCCAAAATCCCAAGAGGAGAATGGAGAAAGGATAGAGGCATTGCCATTCCCCCAAGGGGTGATTTCTCACTTTCTGTCTCTCTCCCTCTCTCTCCAGCAAGCACATACAGTTCTATAGCAAAAATCTCTCAAAAAAAATGTTTAATAACTAAAACTTAAATTTTATATATTTGTGTGTATATATATATATATATGAGATTTTTGCTATAGGGTATGTGCCTCAACAGAAATACAGAGCATGACAAGAGAGTCAGAAAGTGAGAACTCACCTCCAGGGGACTGGCCACACCACAATCCCTTCTCCTCCATTCTCCTCTCGGGATCTTGGGCACATATGCACACATGTCTGGCGTGAGTTTAACCCACAGGGTCCAGGAATCCACCCGTGGTCAACTACATGGGAGTCCAGCGACATAGACATTACTGGTCCCACCTAAATTATATTTTTCAAAAAGATTTTGGAATGACTTCTAAATAAGGTAAATAGTTCTTGAAACATTTAATTTTCCTCATATATTTTAATATGCCAACTTTTAAAAAATATTGTTGCTCTTTTAATAATAGAAATAGTAAACTATATTAACAACTATATCTAAGTAAGGCTAAATATGCAAAAGCTTTTTTTAAGCCCTGAGTCTTAAACAAATAACTAATTTATTTTAATTAGATTATTAATTTATTAACTAATTTATTTTATTATTGTACAAGACAATAGAGTTTACTGTATAAAATTTAAGCTTTTATTTCTTGGGTGTGGGTTTTTTAGTATGTGTATGTGTATTTTTTTATTTTAATTGCCAGAGGATACATGCACTCTAGAGAGACAGAAACAGACAGAAAGAGAGAAAAATCTCTCCCCCAACCAGCTAGGGCATAGTCACATCACAATTTCTTCTTCTTCCTCCTCTTTTATTTTGTCAAGATTTGTGGTATACATATACACACACCAGTCTTATTTTTCAAGCTGTCCAAACCACAGTCAGCCATGTGGGATCCAGTTCCTTTAGCCACTAGGCTATGAAGCGAGCCCCTTTCAGGTGTTTGTAATGCTATGATTACAGACAGAGTTGCACACACATCAACTCCATAACAAATCTTGGACATGTATTTCAGGGACTATATATTGATCATACATAATAAATATCTAAAGCTAAGCCTGAATGAAAATGCATACGTGCATATGCATACACACACTGACACACACAATCACCTTTACAACAACATTCAGTAAAAGCCCTTGTGCCCATTTTAGTCTAAATATATTTCTACTGACAGCCTCCATATTCTATATCAGTAACAAATGGGAGTCTGATTTGTTCACCAGTCTGAAATGATCAGGTTTTCAGGAAGCTGACATACTGCCGCTGAGTTTCGGAAATTACAGAGCTCTATGATCCAAACATGACCCGTGGGATGCTAATCCCATATCTGAAAAAAGAAAAGCCAAACACCCACCTCATATTTAAGAGGCACAAATGGAGAGTTGTATGGTAGGCTGACGGATCACTAATATATATCATAAATCTTTTTTATTGGGTTTCAAAGCTGCTGGGGAGTTGGGAGAGAAATAATATGAAAGCATGTAACCTTTCATTCTACATTTCCTTCATACCTATATCTTGTAAAGCCATCGAAAAGACTTCATTTTTCCCATGACATCTGTTCTTTTTTGTAAAGAATGGGCACAGTCTGTTTGTCTGCTGAAAAGTTTCAGTTTTGAGAATGTCATCTTCTAAAGTCTTATTTGTCAAAAGTTGCTCCTTTAAGTAGTTGTCATTTTGTATAATGTGGTACCTTTGAGTGAGATTTCCTATAATTTCCTGCTGTTGATGCTTTTCTCGAATACACTGAAAAACTAAAATGAATAGCATAGACATAATAAGTATGCACAATAATCAAACAAGTATCACGATTCAATTTAAGATGAGGAAAAAGTCTCACTTTGACAACCAACCCATATAATTTCTTTAACTAGCAATTTGATGTATAGAAAGTAACACTTCAATGAACTGACCATAGAAATGGAAAAATAAAATTATTCACTATTAGTAACTAGGCTAAATAAGATGTCTGAATAAAATTATAATGGTAACACCTCACCTTTCACTTTAGTTCATTTTCATAATCCTTTTTTCTTTTTCCATTCCTTTCTTTCTTGTTTCTTCCTTCCTTCCTGTCTTTTTTTTATTTCTTTTTTCTTTTTTCTTTTTTTCTTTGGTCATGAGACGAAAGGAAGGATTTTTGACAGGGTATTACCATGTCACAATCCTCCTGCCCCAGCCTCCCTGTTAGTGGGGACTGTAGACAGGCATCATCACACCCTACATTTCACACCCTACATTTCACACCCTACATTTAGATTGAGCAAGGAATCAAATATGGGCGTCCCATGTGACCTCAGCCTGCAAGTAGCAGCATCTTAGCAGTACACACACTGCAACTGAGCCCTGTTTTGTTCTTTTTAACAATTAGCAAATCATTTAGAAACAAATACTAACATGAAAATCAGCTAGTCAACTTTTATCAACAATCTTCTGAGTATGAAAACCTGAACTAAGAAACTAAGAGATATAGCACAATTATTACCAGTATAGATGGAATATCTATAGGGGAAAAGAGAGAAAGATGCAGCTATCTATTTTTTAAAAGGTAATTTTTTCTTTTTGTTTTTCCCATAGGGCACATGTGCTCACCAGAGAGACAAAGAGAGGGAAAGTAAGAAATCACTGCCTCTTCACCCCCAAAAAGGGCATGGCCACACCACAATCCCTTCTCCTCCATTCTCCTCCTAGGATTCTGGGCATGCATGTACATGTACCCAGTATACTTTTAAGCCACCTGGTCTAGGACTGGAACCATGATCAGCTATGTGGGAGTCCAGCACCTTAACCACCATACCACCCACTGGCCCCAGTTGTGTGGTTTTTTATCTAAGTATAACACGTGTAATTTTCTTTAAAGATGTCAAGAAATTCAAATAAAAGAGAAAATTTGAATTTAAAATCATCTTACATGTATATAACAATTTATTCTTTTTAGTAAATGTTTTTGTCATTATATGGTTAGAAAAACATCAAGAGAGAGCTACTATTTCTCTTGAAGAACTTTTTCTCAAAGAATGTTTATCTCAGATACACAATGATCTAACCTCAGGTGGAAGAAAATTACTGAAATTTCTATCAGAAGGAATATTAGCATACACTATACTATGGCAGCTCCTCTGAGCATCAGAGTCAAAGGACTAAGGAAGTGATATGAAAGTGACACTGTGAGATGTCCAGGAAACAATCACCAACAAAGTCCAGGGATATTTCCTAATTTTTAAAAGGAAACAATAAATAACACATGGTTGATAGCTGTACCGCTAATGGTTACCATCATTACTCAAACTCAGAGGCTGTATTTCAATTACTCACTCATTGTTGCCAACACTGTGACTGTTATCAACAAAAGTAGACAGAGGACCCCAAGAGTCACTGCAATGTGATGCCATGGCATTGAAAACTCTTAAAAGAAAAAAGAAAAAAAAAGAAGTATTAGGGAAAAGACCTGGACCACTAGTAAGCTTAACCTGGGACACTATTTGGCAAAAAGGAAAAATCTTTTCCAAAAATTTTACAAAAATATATAAATTTATTTCAATTCATAACTTATATTACAGCTTTAAAGTTTCAGATTTCTGACTGACACATGCTGTTGAAATCCTACCATACAAAAACAATCCTATGGAATTTTGAAAATATAAGGGGACTTCAAAAATTTCATGAGAAATGGAATTAAAGTATGAGTTTATTTAAGGGTAAAAAATTTTTGAAAACGATGCATGGTTTTTTATAATACACATTTTCCTTGAACTTCTTGAAAACACATCCCCCCCAGCATATCCCTTACAAAAAGCACCAATGTCAATAGACACAACACATGTAGCAGAATGCCAGTCGACCAACTTTCACCTTCCTGTCATTGCAACTAATCATGAAGAAGAAGCAGTCAATATCCTTGAGAAATCAGTAACAAGTAAGTAATGGATTTTCTGAAGCTACAAATGTGGTTGCAAATAGGATTGGGCTCCATCCCTAAAGGAGTTCCTAGAAATTAACTTCCTGGTTTCCTTTTCTTTTTCTTTCTTTTTTCTTTCCTTCTTTCTTTATCAATTCTGTTTTTCTCTAGACCTCTATTTTCTCTCACATCCCTTTGCCTTGGCGGTCCTCTATATCTGCAAGTTGTATCTATGATATCACTAAATGAAAGCAGTAGAAGTTATTCTCAATTTAAAGTGAATTATGAAAATATTTGAAAGGGAGAAGGGAGATAATTTAAAAATCGAAATTTGGGACTGGTTCCATGGCCTGGTAGTTAAGGGAGCTGGATACCACATGGCTGAATGTGGTTCAAATTCCTGCCTCAGTGACTTGAAAAATAAGCCACGTGTGTGTGTGTGCTCCCCTAAACCCCACAAAATGGAAAATAGAGGAGAAGGAATTGTAATGTAACCATGTCCCACTGGGGAGTGCTCTCGCTCGCTCTCTCTTTCTCTCTCTCTGTTGTACACACAACAAATTTTTAAAATAGAATCTTCCTATGATTCATACATTTTTCCTGCTCCATTGCCATTAATGTTTGTTCGTTTGTTTGTTTTTGAAAGAAAGATTTTTGCTATAAAGCACATGTGCTCGCCGGAGAGACAGAGAGATACAGAGAGACAAAAAGTGAGAAATCATCCTCCGGGGGATGACCACATCACAGTCCCTTCTCCTCCATTCTCCTCTCGGGATCTTGGGCATGCACACACATGCGCCTGGAGTTAGTTTTAAATCATAGGGTCTGGAACTCAAATGGCAGTTGACCACGTGGGAGTCCAGCAATGTGACCATTACACCATCTGCTGGTCCCAGCCATCAATGTTTAATAAGTATTTACAATGCCTAAAATATCTCTTTTCTGAATAAAAAATATTTTGGTACAATCGGGAAGCCTATGGATGGTGCTTAAGGCAGCTGGGTCCTACAGGGCCTACCATGTAATTCAAGTCTCAGACTCTGCAGTTTGAGAAACATGCCAGATATGTGCACGTGCAAGCCCAAAATCCCAAAAGAAGGAAGAGATGGAGAAGGGGTTGTGACCTGACTATTCCCCATGGATGGTACTTACTTTCTCACTCTCTTTCTTCCTCTCTCTCTCTCTCCAGTAAATGCACACATCCTTCAGAAAAATATTTTTTAGAGAGAGAGATTTTTGCTACGGGACATGTGCACTCGCCAGAGAGACAGAAAGTGAGAAATCAACCCCCAGGGGGAGTGGTCACACCACAATCCCTTCTCCATTCTCTTCTCCAGTCTTTGGGCATGTACATACATGTGCCCACCATGAGTTTTAAGCCTCCAGGTCTAGGACTTGAACCACAGTCCACTACATGGGAGTCCAGCCACGTAACCATTATTCCATCTGCTGGTCCCTCCTTCAGCAAAATTTAAAACAACTAAAAAAAGGTTTTAACAAATATTTTTTATTTATTTAAACATTCTCTAATACTTTTATTTCTCTAGGAAATACCATGCTTTCTTGAGACTCTAGTCTGTCTTTCACTTTTAAAGACCATACAAATTCCTGACCAGATTTCAACAGAAACATTCTATTAGTTTCTCTAATTCAAGAGAATTTATTAATTTCTACATTCTCATACTTTTTTCTGAAAAAGACTTCTGTTCCATGAATCGACTCCATTATGATTTCTTTTTGCCAGCTGAGATTCAGAAGTACAGACAGAAATTTTTAATAAAAAGTCAAAAATTTGACAAGTGAACTTAGATGCTTAGAACATATGAACTTAGATGCTTAGATCATATACCTTTATCATTAGTTTTTCTAGGCCTTGATCTATTCTGTGACGCTGAAGGAGATTGAAGAAATCGCAAAGTTGAATAAGCCACTTCCTGGTCACTCATCTTTAGAGGAAGAAGAGAAACATGTTTTGCACGAATACCTTGTAACAGGGAGATTTCTCTCCAAAGAACAATTAAAATGTCAGCCTACAGAAGCATACCAGGATTTGATTCTGAGAAGTAGGTATGTATCAGCCTGTGTCTGAGGGTATATGCTTATTAACTCCTTTGAGTATCTCGAGCATGTAGACTGAACCCAATTTATTTAAGAAATGGAAAACATTTGACATTTCCATTAAAGTCATACTCCTAGTGGTCACTGTCATGATTATTTCAAAATATCGAAAGAACTTTTTAAATCTACCAATAGATTATTGTCCTAACCACACAGCAAATTTGCTCGAAATGTTCAACATACATATAACAAATGTAAGGCAAAATCAGTACCACTTCCAATCACTAAAACACTTTTAAACTATCAATTCAAAAAAACAAAAATTCCACATTCTAAAGAAATATATATTCTGGCTTTTTAGAAAAAGTTATTTTTAAATTCATATAAATATTGGAAAAGTTCTTACAATTTTTTCAATTACTCCTGACGCTACCACAGTGTTACCAAAGTGAATCCCATATGTCATCAGAAAAATAATTATTTGAGTGTTAATATTGCAGACTGGCTAACATTAACTGGAATCCAGTGCCCTGTGCAAAATGTGCTGAAAAAAAATATCTCTTAGGTTGAAGGTCAAACACCTGTATTTCTAATTTCAAAAAATTCCACATACATTAAAATGTTGTAAAAATCATCCAGTGTATGATGTTGCCAGAGAAGCCTATGTGAAAATACAAATTTGTTAATAGCCAGTCATAAGTTAATGCCCAAGAAGGAGCCAATCTAGAATAGGCATCAATATAGAAAGAATTATTAAATAGTAAATAATTTAGATTTATCTTGCCACTTACATTAATTATTATGAACTGATATCTAAGAAACAATTTTTATCTTACAAAATTGAATTATTCACATTTCCCCTTATTTTCTAATGGAAAAAAAGGAGTGTATTTTAGAATCTATTATAGTCTCCTTTTATAAATCCTTGAAGATTGATAAAATAAGATGGAAATCATTAAGCCCAAGTAAAGAAGTCATTAACTCCTCAAATCCCTCTTCTTTATTTTGATAACTCAAAGCAAAAATCATAGCATATTGCGAAGGAGTTAACTTTCCATGAGTACTCAACTACAGTTTTCACATCCTTCATAGTGAATGCAGCTCCAACACTATCAGAAGAATGCTATCCTATCTCATTCTCATGCCATCTGATTTTTAATTAAATACCACATTCTAGGAGAAGTAGGACTAGTAGGATAATCAGGTAGAAAGATTCAAGGACTTAAAGCAAATGTTACCTGAATCTGTGCCATGTGGTGATGCCGGTGGAGAAAACTGATGCCGAAATAAGGGGGAAGTTGGCCTCTCCAGTCTTGGGTTCCTCAGGGTCTATAAGATGAAAGGCAGAAATGAAATGCCTCTGAATAATACCCCGGCTCAAAATTGTCTGCCCCTCCTCTTGACCAAAGTGATAAAAGGAAACTGAATGATGAGAGTGGGTGTTGACGGGGAAAGAAAGATGGTCATGAGATGTCTCTTCCTGCATTTTGACTAACAAACAGCTTAGTACTCTTTGCAAAATAATGTTCAAAGTCAATACTGAAGGACTCAACAGATAAACAAACCTTTGAGGGAAAAAAACAAACAAACAAACAAACAAACAAAACAGGACCAAAATCTTTAACCAAAAAAAAACTAACATACTTAAAAGAGATAACTAAAACATCCATGTGTAACGATGCATATATACATATATACAGAATGTGCCATGACTAAATTCTTGACCCCTTAGTTTAAGTAACAGTCTATTAAAAACTTACTCTTGGTTCAGCTGGTTGTATGGTGGTTAGGGAGCTATATTCCACATGGCTGACTTCATGGTTCAAGTCCTAGACTCAGTGGTTTGAGAAACATGCTGGGTGTTCATGCGTGAGTATCCAAAATCCTGAAAGCTTTCTTTCTGTCTCTCTGATGAACACATTTGCCCTCTGGTAAAAACAAAAAACTTTCTTTTATATGACACTATTTGAAAAGGGTTATTTCATTTTTGATTAATGCTTATTATATTATAATTGAATGTGGCCTTTGAGCCACTCTCTCTGTCTGCTCAGGCCTATCCCTACCTCTTAAAAGTGTACTTTCACTTTTACTTAATAAACTACCTTTTGCACCCTTTGGGGAAAAAATAGTTACATTCCAAACAAAGTGTTTTAGATCAATAATAAGCATTTCCTCCTTTTAAAAATATTCACCTAAAATGTAATTTTTAAACCATTGGGACCAGCAGTTAGCATAATGCCTATGTCGCAGGACTCCCATGTAGTTGACCACGGTTCAAGTCCCAGACCCAGTGGCTTAAAACTCACGCCAGGCACATGTGTGTGCGTGCCCAAGATCCCAAGAGGAGAATGGTGAAGGGATTGTGGCATGGCCATCCACCCTGGGGGGTGATTTCTTGCTTTCTGTCTCTCTGTCTCTCTCTCTGTCTGTCTGGTGAGCGCACGTGCCCTATAGCAAAAACCTCCCCAAAAAATAAAAAAAATAAACATATATAGTTATTACCCACATAGATATACCCAATTTTTTTTTAGGTAACCCCCTATTGTTGGACATTTAGGTTGTCTCTAATTTTTTGCTACTATAAAAAATACTTGCCTGCATTTTTTTTTCCTGCCAGAGGTTGTGTGCATTCTCCAGAGAGAAATAGAGAAAGGGAAAGGGGGGTGATTTCTTGCTTTCTGTCTTTCTGTCTCTTTCTGGTGAGCACACACGCCCTAGAGCAAAAACATCTGCAAAAAAAGAAAAGGAAAAAAAGAAAAGAAGGGATAATGACAAATTATTTTTCGATGTGAGCTTTGCCCACAAATCTTACTTCAAATAGCTGCCTCTACAATGTTCTAACAAGGTCTCATATTTTCAAATATATTGAAAATAAACGGAAATTTATTTTTATAAGTCTACTAATAAAAACCAAATCATGCCAAATAGACAAATCTCTTATTAAGTTCAATTTTATTTAATGCAGGCCTTTTTAACCTCCAACTACAGTTCTATGTAACCAATTCAACTTGTTCTTCACATGGGATGAAAGTGATTAGTAAAGATTTGTGGAGAGAGTGAGTGATACAGAAAACAGAAAGGGAAATTGACTATTTAGAGATAAATTAAACTCCTATTTCACCAGGTTCTAATCAAATTCCTAGTTTATTCTTCTCTTACCAACCTCTAGCAACCCCTAAACTGTCTTTTTTTCAGAAGGTCTCCTTGCTCTGGTTCACACATGCCACCCACCTTTCCTCCACATCACCTCACAGATCCAGTCTGCTGCATATTCTAGCCACTGGGATCTATCTAGATTATGCTGTCTGTTGTTTGGTCCTCAACTGGCCTATTTCTGTTACTGACCAACTCTTATCTATTCATTTATTTTTATAATTTGCTAGAGGCCATGTGTGTTCAGCAGAGAGAGAGAGGGGAGGGAGAAAGCACCCCTCAATGGGCCATGATCATACCATGATGTCCTCATCCACCACTCCAACCTTTTGGGATTTGGGGTACACACATACACCTGATCCTGGCATGTTTTTCAAGGCACCAGGGCTGAAATTCAGACCACTATCAGTCATGTGGGATATGACTCTCTTGACTATTATGTGACAAGACTAGAGAAGGGCCTATATTTTCGTTTTTTTTGGTTTTTTAGGAGAGGATTTTTTTTTCACTATAGGGTGCGTGCGCTCGCCAGACAGACAGAGAGAGACACAGAGACAGAAAGCGAGAAATCACCCCCCAGGGGTGATGGTCACGATGCAATCCCTTCTCCTCCATTCTCCTCTTGGGATCTTGGGCACACACGCATACGCACCCAGCGTGAGTTTTAAGCCACCGGGTCCGGGACGTGAACCACGGTTGACTACATGGAGTCCAGCGACATAGCCATTACGCTATCTGCTGGTTCCCGAGAAAGGCCTATATTTTCAACACAGCTTTAGTCACAAGCATGATCTCTGGAGCCAGGCAAACATGATTTGAAATACAAGTCCCCAGCCCCTACAATGTGTGAATCACTTCACTTCTAAGCCTCAGGTTTACCACAGTACAATGGTAATGCTATTTGCCATCCAAGGTTGCTGCAAGGACTAAAAGAGATAAGGTACATAAAGCATCTAACCAGAGCCTGGCATATACGTAGTAGGCTCTCATTAAGTGTGAAATATTATTTTTTTTAAGTTAAAAATTAAAATCCTGGTGGGCCATCAGATGGTGTAACGATTATGTCACTGGACTCCTATGTAGCCAACTGTGCGTCAAGTTCTGGACCCAGTGACTTAAACTCATACCGGGTATGTGTGCATGTGTGCCCAACAACCCAAGAAGAGAATAGAAGAGAAGGGATTGCAGCGTGGCCATCCCCCTTCGGGGGTTGGCGGGGGGGGAAGATTTCTTGCTTTCTGTTTCTCTATCTCTCTCACTGTCTTTCTAGCAAGTACGTGCTCCCTATAGCAAAAACCTCTTTTAAAATAAAATAAGATCCTGGGACCAGCAAATGGCATAATGTTTACATTGATAAACTACCATGTCAACCACTGCAGTTCAACTTCCAGACCCAACAGCTTAAAACTCACACCAGGCATGTGTACCCAAGATCCCAAGAGAATGGAGGAGAAGGAATTGCTGTGTGGCCATCTCCCTGGAAGGTGATTTCTCAGTTTCTGTCTCTCTGGTGAGTGCACATGCCCTATAACAAAACTCTTTTAAAAAATAAAAAATAAAAATAATTTAAATCTTTACTTATTGTAAAAATTTGAAGTCACTCAAAATCTTCAAGTCTCACATGTTCAACAAAAATGTCAACAACTTCATAGGCTCAAAAGAATTGAGTGAAATTTGTACCGCAGACAGGATTTCTTAGACTCTACAATAAGTAAATGTCTTTTGTTTGCTTTTCTTTCCTAAGTTTATATAAATAGTGGAAGTGCCAGGGATGAAATTCAGAAGTCTTGACATGCTAAGTAAGGTGTCCATCTCACCACAACAGACTCAGAGCGCATGTGTTTGGAAGAATGGGGTGGAGATGGAACATTAACACAATTTAAGACCTGGAACATATGGCACCACTACTTTCCAAGAAAAATTGTCCTGTGGCCTCGGATCTTACTGTCCCATGGAGATCCTGGTGATGTTGCCACTTCTTTCTGTTTTGATTTACACCCTAATAGGTGGGGAGAGGTGAACCACTCTCAGAATGGAGACCAGGCAAGACATACTTTTTTACTCTTCTTACATAGCATCTGTCTCCACCATAACATAACATGTGTGTGGGTGAGGACCCTATCTATCTCATTCATTTCAAACAGTATCCCTTCAATGGAGAACAATGCCAATAAGTGCATTTGATGAACAAAGTGATTAAAGAGGAGAGTAGTTTTAAACAGGCAGTAATGACAGTAATATTTGGAAAGCCCAGTTGTACAGCTGCCCCCTCTGAGCTCTACTTTCTATTACTAGCCCTGAATTTCTGACAAAGGTAAATTTATTCTTTAAATAAGGAAACAATTCAGGTAAGATGGTAACAGTAGCTTCAGACAGGATTAATTGAAATTACTGACATTGAAGAAGCACAAAAGTGGAAGTACTAAAATTTATCACAACCGCCATTAATGAAAGATGAGAAATTTGAAAAGTGTTTAAGTATTCTTTTACTTTGCCAAATTCACTCTTGTGCAAAATACACACTTAGGTGATGACATCAACAAGTTCACAGAAAATGTGTATTATGAAAAAACTAAGTATGGATTAAAAGAAAAAAAAGACTGCACCAAAGTACACTTGTACTTTAATTCCATTTTTCCCACATGCTTTTGAAGTTCCTCCTACACATACAAAAATAGGAAGTATTTATTTTCTAGCTGCTTTGCTGCAAAGGCCTTTTTTATTTGGGTAACCACATATTTTACCCATTCCTTTGTGATGATACTGTCAGCTAGAAGCTTAGCACGCAGCTTGTAAGTCACACCTTTAAACTTTTGGTCACACTTTCAAACCCCAGTGTCTTATGTCACATCAACATGCAGTTCTTCCTGTCCTAGACTGAAGTAAAGGATGTCTGGAAAACCATTAGTTCACAGGGAAAGATGGTCTGGATTACTTTATTGGGAAGAATAACCTCACTTGGCCAGGGTTCACTTCCTTGCTTATTTGTCCTAATGCCTAACTTATATGCCACTGAATTGCACCAAAATTTCCTGGCTCTTACAGCAAAAAACAAAAACCTCTAGTTTGATTCTAATGACCCCATTTTATCTATAATAAGAGCCATTCTAATGTTCTAGATATAAAATACTCTGTCATCTCAATAGAACCTCCAGTAATCAGTCAAACAGTCAGCATCCTTCCTTCAGTTTCTAAGTAATCAAATGAAA